AGGGGAGATAAATGGGCAAGAGGAATCCAAGCTGGTCAGGGATCTGCTGGGCCAAAAGCACAGGGAGAAGGAAAATCAACACTTACCTGGCCAGCAGGAAAAGCTCCAGGGAAGGCTGTCTTAAGAACAGGTACAGTACAGAATGCAAGTATTATAGTACAAGCAAGGATGGCACAAGAAACCCAGAGCTAATGTTTGGGAATGGTAGGAAATCATGTGGAGCAGTACAGCCTATAAAGAAGCCAAATTCAATTACTTACAAACTTCCATGACTTTACTTGACTGGCTGCCAGTCAGCCTATACGTGGACCAACATGTCAAGTATTTGGAACACAAGGCTACTTGGTTTTCACTTGTGAAGACTGATTCACAGCGTAAAATAAATTATTTCATTCCCACGTATCACTGCACCTCTTCAGCGGCCAAGCTGATAAATAACCTCACACTTCCTCTCTTTCCTTTGTAAGACAGCAGAAGGTAAGAGGAGAGGGGGATTCCAGAAGACTTGGAGAACTGCACCTCCACCTGGTCCCGGATCCTGCAGCCTTGTCTGCCCAGCCTGGACTCTGGCTGTAATGAAAGCAGTCTTATCTTTGAGAGATCTGCCTTTTACCGGAACATAAACCATACTTCCCAAAGCTCCCAAAGACTCTTAATGGTTTTTTTAAAGCTGAAAATGCATAAGATCCTCACATTGTAAATAAACATGGAGACAGACATAAAGAGAAACAGAAACGTCGCCAAGAACCTGTCCTCCGAGCCTATGCTAAGTGGTGTTTCTATGAGTGTCTGGGTTTCAGCTCCACAGCAGGAATGCTTGTGAGGTCTGTGCACCGTCCTGTGTACTCAGAAGGCTACACGCCTAAAGTGTACTTGAGATCAGTGTTTTCATTACCCCTAGAGGGGCACCAGGCAAGAAGGGGGACTTGCTGGTAAGAAAATAATATATGCTTCTTTCCACTTGCTTAAGAGTCACAAAGAACATTTTGTAATTATATTGCATCAGAGATACAACTTATGATCAGGAGTGCTGGATTTAGGGCATATTCAAGTATTTTTTCCTGCTCAGGACTTTGTATTATGGTTTGTGTCTAGTTCCCTCTGACCAAAAAAAAAAAAAAAACCAAAAAAAATATCTCATGCAGTCATGGGGCAGACTTCTGTGATTAATTCATGATCCAGTGCTGAGATTATGGGTGTGCGTGCTGCTGGGATTATGGGTATGAATGCTACACCCAGCCTGGGGCAGCTAGCCTGAATGCAACCTGAGGGAGCCAGACTTGCTCTCTGTGGCCGTTGTTGCTGCTGCTCCTCCCTTTTGCTCTTGCTGTTTTGCTGTTTTCCGCTGCCATGAACTGCTGCCCTCTGCCATGTGCCACTCTGCCTTGGAGCCAGCTGAGTGTGGACTGAAACCTCCACAAACTGTGAGCTAAGTAAACCTTTCCTTCTTTAATTTTGGGTGTCTGGTATTTGTCCCAGCAAGAGAAAAAGTAACCAAGACATTTTGCATAGCTTGCTTTGCTTCTTTCTCTTTTCTTTCTTTCTTTCTTTCTTTCTTTCTTTCTTTCTTTCTTTCTTTCTTTCTTTCTTTCTTCTTTCTCTTTCTTTCTTTCTTTTTCCATTTTTTAAAGAGTACAAAATGGCAAAAAAAAAAAAAACTTATTAGAAATGGTAGAAAATTTCATTAAACAAAGTAGCAGGAATTCAACA